CGAATAAATAGGGAAGCTGGAGCCAGTGCCTTCTGCGGCACACACTGCCGGGGATGGTTTTTAACTACACCATATCCATTCGGTGCTTGGACAGTTTCATGTGTCTTCAAGCGTTTATAATTTCTTCAGGGAAGATTCAGAAATTCTTCTTGGAGCCAAAAGGAAGCATTAGACAGAACTCCAAACAAGTTACCTCAGCAACCTCAGACTTTTAAGAAAGAAAATAATTTTCGTCTCGTATTTCTCGCTTCTGCCAGGGCACATTCCTTTAGCGAGACGAGCATAAGCCCAGGGGGCAGGACCGAGCCTTTTCCCCCATAAGGACATTTTGAAGTAGCAATTAACAGCAACTGCTTAATTTAATTAAACAGTGACTGCAGGGAATCAAGAATTACATGTAATATGATTGACGGCACTTTTCTCTTTTCTGTATTTAAAGGCAATCAAGAACTACCAACAGCTATTAACATAACTTGGTCTTCAATAAATTTTAAAACTATACTACAGTGGCAACCAAAACCATCAGGTTACTTTTATACAGTGGAAATACACGGGTAAGTAAGTAACGTCTAGATGTATCCATTAATGGCAGTTGAAGAAGATGCAAATAGTGTGTGTTTGAATATATCTGAGGCTGTATGTAACAGGAATAAAAGCCCCAACATGAGGATTTGGGAAAAATTCCCAACCCAGCTGTTAATACTTCTTTGCACCCAACTATAAGATTATCTGATTCAGGCTTCTGGTTTTGCCCACTTCAGAAAGAGATTGCTGAGCTTCACATCAGTATTTCAGTTCTGGGGTTCGGCACAGGCCAGCTGCACTGGAGGTCTACTCCAGGGTACTTTTCAGAAGTTGACACTCTGTCTCACATACCACATATTAGAAAGAAATTCACCTTTTTATGTCCTGGAGGTGTCTAGACTGACTTTAGTCTTGGGTGATTACAAGTCTGCTTTTTATTCTAATTGGTGAATCACAGTAAATGAATAATTTGTCTTGCTGGCTAATACTAAAAACTACGTTTGTTAACCTACCTCTGCCAAGACTTCCTCTGTCATCATGTTTTATGCAAGTTATTAAATATTGTGAATTTATATGTTCTGTTCTTAGCTCCAATAATTAATAAACATGCCCCAAAAGGAAACTGCATCATCACCTCTCCTACATATTAATGAAAATATGGAACTGTAGCCTTCTCTGCCTGTAAAAGTGGCATAGAAATGAGAGCTTTCTCATGACTAATGAATGAAACACTGGTGCAATGGCCTAATGTGCTCTTTTATTCTTTATGGGAGTGATTAAATAAGTAGACTTAAAAGCAGACACTTAGCAGAATTAATTTTATGACATTTATTCATCTAGAGTTTATTTCCAGCTATTTGTGCTTGAAGAAAGCAGAAGTCTGTTTGCCCAAGAGTCAGTAAAGAATCAGGTATAGCTCCAATACAGAGGAACTTTTTCAGACAAGTTGCTCTTATGGATGAAGTGTGCTTAAAAGTTTGCTTTCTCATCTACATGCATTTACAGAGTAGATTTGTTTGACCACAAAGATGAAGTCTCCTCTGTTGTTTCTCAAGGCATCTTTTGGGCAGTATCACAAACTGAGCTGTGACATTACAAAAAAATCTGGAGGAGAAGGAAGTTCAGGAGATTCTTAAATAAAACTTGACCCACTTGGAGGAAAACTTATTTTTTAGCTTCCAAACAGTTGACACGCTTGCTCTCTCAGCTGAGATCACATCATTTTTCTTTTCCTTATTTCAACGGCAAAACCAGGGAAAAATAATTGAACCAGTAATACCTAATCAGTTTTCCATTCCTTCTTACAAGGAAATAAAAAGAGGAATTAACACTTTTTTTCCTTGTCTCTGTTTTTCAAGTAAGTGGGTCTCCTTTCTATAATTTAAAAATCAAGTGCAGTGCATGGATCATGTTTTTTGGTCAATATTTTAAAATTTTAGTTCTGCACCAAAAATTGCTGCTACTGTCTGGTTCTTAGCGACATTTGCTCCTGCATAAATGGAAACACAAGGGACATCTACAAGGAGATATTGTTGGCACATTAAACAATATTGGTATCAACAGAGCTTCTCATGACAACTGATGTTTCTTAAGGCAATAGTTTTCTGCTTAATCAGGGATTATACTTTCAAAGTGATTTATGCACCATTTTTTAAAATGTCAACTGCAGAAAAATAAAAAATAAGAATACCTACAGTTTCTGGTCAATTCATACAGAAGATTGAAATTTGTATATGTACTTGGTTCTACTTTGAATTGTGAAATATAGCTGGACAGGATAGTGTTGTTCGAGGTTTTTTTTCCTCCGTTCCAGCCTAATACACCTGCAAGACAGTTCTACTTGATGAGGGAAGTCTATGCATTTTGAGGGGAAAAATGTTTTTAATGTCTCCAAATACCTATGTCTGGTTGGAAAGTGTTGACACTTCTTTCTTGCTTTTTCAGGCAGACATCTGACACCAAAAAAAAATGCATACTGACAAGAGAAACAGAGTGTGATGTTACTGATGCACTCAGGAATGTAAAAGAGACCTACACAGCACACATACTGTCTGTAACATCCTCGGGGATGGATAACTTTGAAGAACCACCTTATGCAGTCTCTGAAAAATTTACACCTTATAGTCAGAGTAAGTAGGTTTGACAATTAAATCTTATCATAAACTGCCTTTCAAGATTATTTTCATTGACTTAAGCAAGGTTAAACGAGGTTGAGACTGGGCCTTAAGGTTTATCCTATATATTTTTACAGCAGCCATACTGATAACTGAAATTAAGACATTCAGGCATAAAGCTTTCCCTATTGTAGGGGATTTTAGTTGCCATTTGTTTCTTTCATTAACATGGTATACTAGATGAAGATATTGTTAGTAATCAGCTATTTCTCTGCATTACTTTGGCTCAGTAAATTACAGTAAGTTGGAGAAGGGAAGAGAGTGGAGAGAGGAAGAAAAGAGAACTTGTTGTGATGTCAGTTTTTTAATTCTAAAAAATGCTTGTTTAGCTGTTCTCGGAAAACCGGAGATACAGAATTACACACAAAAAGGTTCCAAACTGAATGTTGTGTTAAAAGACCCTCTTACACCATATGCATTTCCTAATGGAAGCTTTCAAAGTATTCGAGATATTTTCCAAAATGACCTGGAATACAAACTCTATTACTGGAAAGATCAAAGTTCTGGAAAGGTAAGGTCTAACTCTACTTTTTACATATTCTGTAGCTATACTACAGCTACAAAATTTCTGTGCTACCTTGAGAGCTAACAGTTTGGCAGAGAACACTTTCTTGAAATACTGTTTTTCCATTACAGAAAGATGCAGTAACAAAAAGCCATAGTTTTGAAGTGAGCGTTGACAGTACAAAGAACTATTGCTTCTACATACAGGGAAACATTCCCTCCCGCAGAGAAAACCGTAACGGCCAAGAAAGCATGGTGCTTTGTACCAGTGTAGGAAGAAACATCTTGGATGGTAGGTGTCTGGTGAAGGTTGTCATAGAGTTTTTAGCATTCTAACAAAAAGACACTTCAATTCTGAGTATATTTGTATACTTCTTTAAATTGTGATGCCTGTTACAGAATAACCTATTTAATGTGTAAAGTAAGAGGACACAGAATGAACGTGGAAATTTGTGGGAAGAATTCACATTGAGTATAAGTCCACCATCTTAAGCTAGCTGGAGTTGGCCTTATAGTTTTGCTAAAATGTTTTGATTAGTTTTAAATGTCTTGAAGACTGGTCACTGAGGTTTCAGATCCCATCATTAGCCTTCAGCTTCATTCTTTTTGTTTTCTCATTGTTTTCCTCAGATCCTTCCAGTAACACTTCAGGTCCCATATAAGTGTTTGAAAGATCAGCTATAAAACACAGGAGTGCTGAAAAGCTACTTATCCATTGACTTGTAGTGTGAACTGAACTTTAGTTATCTCAAAAGCAGTTGATGTGACTAAGACTTTATTTACAGAGGTTGGAAGATTGACTACTGCTAAACAAGTCAGTGGGTGGTCAGCAAATCAGCTAGTCCAATTCCAGACAATCCAGATAACACTTTTTCAATATGAAGTCATCAGTATTTATTAAATAATATCACATTGCTGTACTACATCTTTCTTCTCCACCAGATAAGACTACTTGCACTCTAAGTAGAAAAGTTGTTCTGAAATTGGCAAATTAACTCTCTTAAATTAACTTTATCTAGATGTGTATTTTTGCTTATCACAATAGCTGAATTCTCATAAATTACAACTTAAATAGAAATCTCTACTGTTGGTGTATTTTAACTTCTAACCCAGAAAGAATTTCCACTTGGACTTAATTTCACAGAAATAATGCAGGAGTACAGTGAATGGTTTGACTTATTCTTGTGGTGGTAGCATGGTATTTTAGTGCACTAACTAAACAAGATTAAAACCTAGCGTGAACCAGGTGAAATAAAGCTGTATCTCAGTTTAAGAAATTCACCTTAAAATTAATTCAGTTCACACTGAGGTGGCCACTCCTCTTCTGGGATACTGTAAAATGCAGAAAGCATTTTTTAGTTCAGTGGGCTGGGCTCTAAGGGTCTGTAGACATGTTTTCTGATAACTGAATCTTGTGGGTTTTTTCTCCCCTACAGAATACGGAGCAGAAGTCTTTATCATCATAGCAGTGATAGCAATTGCGGTCATCACTCTTGCCGTTGTCCTGTCAGTGGTCCTGTGTAAACGCAAGAAAGCAAAAGCTGCAAGAGAAAAGGAACCACTTAATGGTGTCTAGGGAGAAGTTGTGGACACCAGTGGCAGTTCCAAAGCACAAAAACAAACTGTATAATTGGGTGGAGCCTTTTAGCCTCTCTGATAGAGGAATTTTGAAGTCTAAATATTATGCAGACTCAAAATTCTGTTTGGCAGTCGCAGTTGAAAAACCCAGATAGCAGGAAGCCCTGTGTCACTAGTGGCTGGAGGCTAGAAGAGTATTCTGGTGATCTGTTACAATGCTCTAACCCTGCTCATGTACTCCTCCCAAGATCCTTCTATTGTCCTGCCTGAAACAGGATTCTGAACTAGAGGGACCTTTGATTTGACCAGGTACAGCCATTCTGAAGTATGGCCTTACTGAGCCAGAAGATTTATGGTACTTGTGAGGGGAAAAAAAACACTACTTTTGAAAAATGTGTCCTTCACCTAACTGAAAGGAATGTTTTCTGTTTCTATGAAACAAAACCTGTATTAATCTTTCTTTTAACATTATTAACTGGTGAAATTATCTGTTAGTTCAGATGGGATAAAGATGCTACTGTTATTTCTGCACTTCTTGGAGATAACTGATTTAGTCTATTTATCTTTGAATATAGACAATCAAAGGTAAACAAACTGAAACTACTGTACTGGTGATTTGTAAGGAGCACTCTTACAGTAGGTAGCTGCTATTCATCTGGAAAGTGTATCTGGATTATGCTACATGCTGGGTTAGACAGGATAGTCTGATGGTTCCAAGGAAGTGTTAGAACAAATACTTCGCAGGTTTTGAGTCACTAGTCATACACTTAATGCAAACATTGTGTAGGTAGCAGTATTTACTGCATTTTTAACATTATTTTTTATTAAACTGTTGGTGAATGGTTTACATGGTATAGATTCAAATCATATCGGTGATGGGATTTGAAGGTACTTGTTGCTTTGACTATTTTAATATTTATTTTATAAACAAGAATCTAATTTTTATACTGGTGATAACTGTATTTATGGTGGTAATTTATACTTTTCTAATAAAATAAAGGTGACTGGAAAATTAATGCTGGTTTTTCCTTTTTTTTTTAATTAAGTACATTCATTTCAGAATCACTGAGTGGTCAGGGTTGGAAAGGACTTCTGGAGATCACCTAGCCCAACCTCAACCTAAATTAAAAATACAATTAGGAGACTTACCTTGCAACAGCAGTATAAGCAAGCTGCCAGAAGTCTAAGCAGGACTCTGCAAAACAGACTACCAGGGAACTTACTTCCTGAAATGTGGCAATTATGATAAGACACAGTTCACAATCTGATGGTTTTAAAGAGTCCCAAGTTGCTTTTTAGCTGTTTCATCACATGAGCCATGGTCAGTGGTTAGATTCACAGCTTCTCATTCTAATGGAGACCATTCTGGACCTCTCTGCAGGTGTAGTGTGTAGGGATCCCCATAGCAGTGCCTGTCCTGCTTGTGGTACTAAGGTGTGTTTAAAGCCCTAAGAGGCCTGGCCCAGAGGTGAGAACTGCTGCACCTAATGTTAGTACCTGCTTGTCCTGGTTTGAGCCAGGATGAAGCCAATTTTTCTTTTTACTGATTTTTTTCCCTTCAGTAAGCTTTCTTGTAACTAGCAACAGTGTGTTCTGCTAGGCTGATAAGACAGTGGAATGTTTTTCTAACTACTGAGGCTTCAAGGCTGCACCTGCACTCTGCCGGCTCAGACACTATGGGCAGATCTGTGACCCCCCCCATAGGAGGCTGAGTTAGACAGACAGCAAAACTGGCCAAAGATATTCCATTCCATATATCTACGTAAGCTCAAAGGAAGGTCAGAGATCACAGAAGACAACTTCCTTCCTCCTTCTTCTTCCCTTCTCTCCCGTCCATGGCCGGCGTACAGGGAGGACTCTGTTCATCCATCACTGTCGACCCTTAGGCTCGAGATCTCCTGACCCCCATAACTCTCTGCTCTTTTCCAGCAGCAGCAGCTCTGGGATTCCTTGGGACTCTTCCCAGTTCAGGGAAGTGCTGTGGGAGTTGCTGGGGTGCAGGGAGGTGAGAGGCTTTTGCCCATATCTGAATATATCTGTATATAATTGTATATATTTTCTATGATTCATTAGTGTTTTAATTAAAGCTGTGTAGTTTAGTTTTCAATCCAGCCAAGTCTCTCTCTTTTTCTCTCTCTCCTTCCCTACCTGGGTGGGGGGGGGAGGGGATCGAGAGCATTGTTGTCGGACCTGAGTCAAACGGTGACACTGCTGCTGCTAACAATGGTGATGTGCACAAAAAAAACAACCAACCAACCAAGAGCCTTGCAGTTGGCACTAACTGGCTGTATATCTCAAAGACTTGTATGTTACATATTTCATCCGTACTGCATTATAGATACTTTCTGTGCACAGATTAAGTCTCTTGTGAAGATGTGAGTGTGGTTTATGGGAAGCTTTTGTTCCTTAATTTCTTTTATTACAGAGGGAAGAAAACAAACACCACCACCACCCCCAAAAAAACCCCAAAAACAAAACCCAAAAATCCTTGTTTACTTAATATTGTGCAATAAATGCTTAATGCATTTTCTGCTGAGGCATAAGTCTTCTATGGAGGAGGAATATTACAACAGCAATCAAAAACATAAGACCTTGTGGGAGTAAAATTAAAACATTCCAAAGTTGTTGTTATTGCTTCCCTTCCCTGTGCTCTTCTGCATCCTCAGCCTCACTCACTGCCAAACTCAGAAGAAACAGAAGAGCTCAAAGGAACAGAAAAGCCTGTAGGTTACAGCATGGCATTTTTTAAACTAGACCATGCAGACAATTGTCACAAGGTACATAGAACGATGTTATAAATTGTGCTTTGTTACTTATGAGATTTTTGGAATATGAAGGTTGTTTTAAAAGAAAGAACACCCATAGAAATGCAAACAAGTGCCTTAAATGGCATAAGTGACCCACTACTGCACAAGTTCTGGAAACCTGAAGCACTCGTGTTCCCTGGCTGCAGTGTGTTATCATCCAACAATGCTGCGTAACCAGTCACGGGGCTCTCAGATCCTATTTCAAAGATGTTTTTTGCTGTTTGTGGAGACAGCTGAGAAAGGGGCTTTTTATGGCAAACTTCAGAAAGTATTATCCCTTGGGTCAGTGTACTGAGCCCACGCAAAATATTTTATGCAGAGATTTAACTTTCTCAGAGTGACAGGGTGGGTGAAAGGAGTTGATGAATAAAGGTATTGTCACTAGGAAGCAAAACTAGATCCTAACTAGAACATGCGTGACCATTTCAGCACAGACAAAAAAATTACTGCTGTTGCTTAAAATGAACCACAGCACAGGACTTCCTAAATGTATATATGATAGATACAACAGCAAACACCTTAGCTAATCTGTTTCTAGCAGACTCAGCTTTCCACTGTGAGAAAACTGCTGCTGAGAGGCATGCAATGATAAGAATGAGATTGTAAGCTTAACTTGGATTACTAGTTATGTGGCAACTCAGAACAAAGGGTTTCTGAGTCAAGTAAATGAGAATAAACAGCTGTGATAGATTACCTTCTTGGTTCAGTTTCGTAGTGCAATTATTTTGCAGGTTGATAGCGATTGCCACACAGTTTCAGAGCCTTCTAAAACACAGGAATGAGCGCCCTTTTAACAGCACCAGACCCAAGAAACAGTTTAGTAGTCTTCTAATTGAGAAGTATTTATCTACATATAAATAAATACACTTTCCATAGCCTACATTTGTCACTGAGGGAGAGATAAGACCTGGTATTGGTGTTTGAGGAAGACAGGAAAAACAAAAAGAATGACCTGCTAGACAGGTAAAAAGCAGAAACTGGCCAGATGAAAAATCTTTCCACAACCATTAGGCGTGGTGTTCACCATGGCATATGCTCTCTCACACAATACACCCATTCCTGTGATGAAGAGAAACTGTCACAGACAGCTGCCCTTCCCTTATTTGCTGGTGTGTGTCCTCCAGTGCTTGGCATCAGGACACTTAAAAAAGCTCACAGCATAATGACCAGGACAGACGTGCTGCAAATCTCCTGTTCCTTCCATCTTATAAGAAATCTTCCCAGTAGTGAGATCCTCTCGCTCCTTTTGATACAGGCTCTCTTGCAGCCCATATAGCCCATTTCAGTATAACTCAAAAGGACCCAGAAGGAACATCTTCCCCTGTAATTCCTTAACCTCCAAATGTAGCTATATTAGGCAAGTTCATACCAAGCTGTGCCTCAGTGGTGAATTCTTTTGGTAAACCCTGCCAGTACCTGGGAATAGATACAGCCATGATCCTGCCTCCTGGGCTTTCACAGCCAGGTCCTTACTTGTATGTCCAATTGCGGGCATTGCACCTATTTTGTCTGGTCAAAATTTGTCCCCTATTAGTGACATACTTCAGTGATTTGCTCCTGAAAGAAATATTTCTGCTCCTTATTTCCCCTGGCTCCTTAGTTTATGTTTCCATTCCTCTCCCCCATCCCCTACTCATTTCCATCACTTGTTCTTCCCCAGAGATGAAACCACTGTCTCAGATTCTCATTTAAATGAAAATACAGCATCTGAATAAATCCCTGGATCAAGAATATATTAATAGTACAGTAGCATTTTCTTTTACTCTGTACAGCTTCTCTTAGTCACCATAATTGGATCAATAACATCCGGAACATTCACTAGCACTGCTTTGAGTATACCTTACTAATTACCTTTAAATATTAGCAGTTTTAGTAGCTTGTTTAATTAGCAATGAAGTTAATTATCTGAACTCAAAGAATATTCACAGTTTCAGATCTCTGGTATCCTCACTGATGCATCTTTTTTTCTTTTCAAATTTTCTACCTTATTACTTTGAGAAATACTTAAATAGCAAAGCACTTTAGCATTCTTATATTCACAAAACAATTTCATAAAAATAGGTTTCATTAAAAAAACCTTCCTATGAATAGAGAAATATTTTCCCAATGACAACACACAATTTTAAAATTAGTTCTTCAGTAATCACGTAACTCAATTAAAAAGCTAGTGTAATGAGAGAGGTAGAATAAC